CAAGGCTATATAAATGAAATATGTCAGAGGGTAAAGTAAAGCTGTTTATTTCTTGTTTTGCTTAAGCTACAACTGTAAGGAAATCAGACATTTCATTATAAAAAAATGTGATCTTTACAAGCTGATTAAATCACTAACAATCTTGGCCTTCTTTATTGTATATTTATGAGAGTTTCTCAACATAAGACCAATGACAAATATATTGCATTGTTATATATATATATATATATATATATATATATATATATATATATATATATATATATATTTTGTTGTTGTTGTTGTTGTTGTTTTGTTTTTCAAATGGATCTCTGTTTCCACAGACTGCTGGACCATATTGTCAAAGAAAAATAATAAAGAGATCTCAGTTCTGTAGCCTGATTTGGGCAAAGTATCCATATTGAAAAAAGACAGGCCTCCTTTCCCAAGAAAAATAATTGACCCTAAGATTCAGTTAAGAAATGGACCAATCACTTCTAACGACTCTTACTTGCTTGTGCCAAATGAGAGTAGGAAGAATTCCAATGGACTTATGGGTGGTTTCATTCAAGGCAATATCTGAAAAGAAACTGTTCAAAGGAAGTGCAAATTGCCAAAACTGTCTAGTTATTTTTTTTTCTCCTGCTTTAAATTTTTATTTCTTTTTTAAATAGTATATGTCTGGCCTGCTCGTATGTCTTTGTACTGTGTGTGCCTTGTGTCCACAGAGACTGAAGAGGCCCTGGATCCTTTGGAACTGGAGTTGTTACCCTCAAGCTCTCCACCTGTCCTTCCCATGGTCTGAAAGAATTCCAGAGTTTCCTGCGTTTTACTCATGAGAGTCTCTCTAGACTGCTCGGTAGCTAGGCTTGTAAAGAGCCCTAGCCAGTCTTTTCCTTGTTCTTGGGGTGAACATGTTTGAGTTGTCCCCTGAAATCTCCCAGGTCTAAGCAGACCTGGCCTCCAATTACCCACAGGTTAACTCATTAACATACATTCACTTTCACCTTGGAGCTTTTCTGTTCTTCACTTCTCTATCATGCTTCAATGGCTACTTCCAAAGTAATTATTTGCACCTACAACGTCCGAGAATGTGTTTTAAACTACTGTTATTTGTGGAAAGCAATTAAAATTGAAGCAGCAATCAAGAAGCTGTCTTATTCTATGCAAATGGGGAGAAAGGCAAGTCTTATCAAAACAGAGTAGATCCAAGGTACTCCAAGACATGGCTCCCTAGATCAAGTGTAAATTTGAATGAGAGGCCTGACTGGGAGACAAAACATACTCTAAAGCTAGCTTTTGGTCATGGCTAAATGAATACAAAATTAAAGCTTATGGAATCATGTCTTATAAAATAAGTGAAGTTTATGATACATAAATATGTCTTAATGAAGTTGGTGAAAAAGTACTTTATTTTATGTATACAATCTTAAGATTCAGAGAGGAAAAGTTTCAATGTTACATAGCAAACAAGTGTTGAAGAACAAGAAGAACTTAGGTTAAAATCACTCTGAGAAACCACATTCTCCTGTGGATTAACAATCTTCCTTTTACTAGCTGAAAATTGAAGAACATCAGTTAAAGAAAATATCTGAAATATATTGAAAAGTAATATATTGAAATAATATATTGAAAAGAGAAAAAATGCTGTCACATGGTGTTTAGGTTGTGTAAAGCACACTCTAACAGCAAAAAGGCCCTGTCTGGTGTCATACGCAAGCAAGTCCATGTCAAGCATCCCCTAAAAGTCCTGTCCTGAGGCAGGTATGGGTCCCTGAGTCTGTGACAGAAAGAGGGAAAACAGCAAGCAAATACATAGATCAAACATGTACTCTTGCGGACAACTGGAAGCTAAACCACTTCTGACATAAGTTACTATTATAAAAACACCTACATTGGGAATTGGAGGCCAGATGCTCATCCATAGAGAGGCAGCCTGCTCTGCACAGGTCCCTTAGTGGGACCTCCACACTGGCTGCTCACCAGGGCTTCCTCAGTGCATTTCTGCTGGGTGTTGTAAGTACCAATTCCATTGAGGTGCTTCTGCTTCTTCTTCCACTGTGGCTACTCCAGGTGTCTCTGATGAGTGTTGTAAGGGTCTGATGCAATTGTATTTTGCTATCTATCTGCCTGCTGCTTCTGTCTATCTCCTGCTTGGTGTTTGTTCTTTTACTACATATTCGTTCAACAAACTCACTCACTGAAAACTAAATGTGTTTTAAATCATTTTCTGGACAGGATATAATGCAGTCATTTGTTATACAATGACCGTGTATTTAGAGCTTACTTTATTTTTTTTCTCTCATTTATTTATTTTATTCACTTTTCATCCTTGTAACTCCTTCCCTCATCTCCTTCCAGTCCCACCCATTCTCTCTCCCAGTCTCCCTCCTCTTTCCCTCAGAAAAGGGGAGCTCCCTTTCCCATCTACCTCAGCTCATCAAGTTGCAACAGGTCTGAACATGTCCTCTCCCCTGTGGGCTGTCAAGGCAGTCCTGCCAGGGGAAAGTGATCTAAAAGATAGCAAGTGAGTCCATTTCCAATGCAGTCCCCACTTCTCTTATTGGAGGATCCACTCGAAGCCTAAGCTGTCCATCTGCTAAATCTTTGTAGGAGGCCTAGGTCCAGTTTGTATATGGTCCTAGGTTGATGCTTCAGTAACAAACCCCTCTGGGCTCTTGTTAGTTAGCTCTGTTGTTTTTTTATTGTGGAGCTCCTGTCCCTTTTCTCTTTCCTACCATGATTCCCGCAAATTCCCTATGCATCAACCAATGTTTGGCTGTGAGTCTCAGCGTCTGTTTTGTGCTCTGCTGGGTAGGGCCTCTCAGAGGACAACTCTGACAGGCTCCTGTCTGCAGGCTTAGCAGAGTGTCATGGTGTCAGGGGTTGGCACTCTCATAGGGCCGGTCTTTGGTTGGGCCAGGCATGGGTTAGACATTCCTTTAGTCTCTGCTCTATCTTCTCTACTTCTATGCCTGCACATTTTGCAGGCAGGGTTAATTTTGGGTGGAAGATTTTGTGGGTGGGTTGGTGTTCCCTGTGCTTTACTAGACTAGTCTAGTTAGAAGATGTCCTCTTTAGTCTCTGTGGTCTCTTCTACTAGGAATCCCCACTCTCTATATCCTCCCAGACTTAGGTCTCCAGCCTGTCACAGAGATGTCCCCACCCTCCGTTTCTCCTTTTTCTACAGGCCTTCTGTTCTCTCATAATGTCTGATCTCCACCTTCTGAACTCTCTGTGCTCCCTCTCCTACCTTGTTCTGTCTCTTCAGCCAGTACCTCTGTCTATTCCATCTCCCCTTCTGAGTGAGATTTATGCATCTTCCCTTGGATCCTTATTACTTATCTTCTTTGGGTCTGTGCCTTATAGTATGCTTATCCTGTACTACATGGCTAAAATCCACTTATAAGTGAGAGTATATGCCATGTGCATCTTTCTGGGTCTGGGTTACTTCACTCAGGATGATCTTTTCTAGTTCCATCCATCTGCCTGAAAATTACATGATTTCTTTGTTTTTAATAGCTGAGTAGTATTCCATTATGTAAATGTGCCATAGTTTCTGTATCCATTCTTTGGTTGAGGGACATCTAGGTTGTTTCTAGATTATGGCTGTTATGAATAAAGCTGCTATGAACATAGTTGAGCAAGTGACTTTGTTAGAATGTAGAGTGTCTTTTGGGTACATACCCAGGAGAGGTATAGCTGGGTCTTGAGATAAAGTTATTTTTAATTTTCTAAGAACATGCCAGATTGATTTCCAAAGTGGTTGTTACAGGTTTATATTCCCACCAGCAATGAAGGATTGTTCTTTTCCTCCACATTTTCGCCAGCATGTGCTGTCACTTGAGATTTTGATCTTAGCCATTTTGACTGGTGTGAGATGGAATCTCAGAGTTGTTTAATTGTATTTTCTTTAATTGTATCTTCTACCCCTGAGATTCTCTCTTCCATCTCTTGTATTTTGATGGTGATGTTGTGTCTGTAGTTCTTGTCCTCTTCCCTAGGTTTTCCATCTCCAGGACTGTCTCAGATTCTGTTTTCTTTATGGCTTCTTTACTGGCTTAGATTATGTTTTCTTGATTTTTAGGTCTTAAATAGTTTTATTTATTTCCTTCTGGTTGATTGTAGTTTCCTGTATTTTTAAATTTCTTTAAGGGATTTGTTCAATTCTTTCATCTGTTTGAATGTATTTCCCTGGGCTACTTTGAGTGCTTTATTTTCTTCCTTTAATGCCTCTATCATTTCCATAACCTCAGATTTAAAATCTTTTGCTTGCGCTTTGGGTGTGATAGTATCTACAGGGCTTGCTGTGGTAGGTGGTGCCATATGGCCTTGAGTATTGTTGTTTATATTCTTAGGCTAGCCTCTAGCCATCTGGTTGATTCGTGGTCGTGGGCCTGGTGGTCCCTTTGCTGGGTTCCCTCTTTTTCCCAGGTGGGCCAGGCAGCTGGAGAACAGGCAGAAAAGCCTCCAAGCTGAGAGCTGCCTGGGTGCCCCACAGGTTTCCCTAGGGATGTTGGACAACGGGGCTTTGGTTCTTCACCTAGCTGGCCTCTGCTAGGTTCACTGCATCTGCTGGGCTCATCATTCCTGACCCAGGTGTGCCAGGCAGATGGGGAGCACGCAGAGAGGTCTCTGAGCTGAGAGGTCCTTCAGTGTGCCTAGGTCCTAGGACGTGTGCCTAGCTCATCTCAGCCAAGTTCACTGTCTCTGCTGGGCTCGCTGTTTCCAACCCAGGTGTCCCAGAAGCTGGGGAGCAGGCAGAAAGACCCTCTGAGCTGAGAGCTGCTCAGGTGCCCAACACGCCTCCTTGGGATGGGGGACCAAGCTTACTTTATTTACATATTTTATTTTATTTAATTGTACTTATACACAGGGAATAGACCTTTAGAATGTACATGATGGGTCAAAAGTCCTAGGCCTAGGACCCTGTGAGGTTCAGGCAGTTTTTTTCCAGGGGCACAAGCTGTACATGAAATTTATATCTCCTTCTCCCATTCCCCCATTGCCCCTGCCCATACCTCACTGTTGAGTTTGTTTATCTGCTGTTTGGTTTCTTCAGCCTTGATGAACAGAACAGCAGCTCCGACCTCTGCTTCTGAAAAGCAACATACACAGAGAGTGAGTCCTTCAGAAATACACTCTGTATTCAAGCTTTGTGGTGGCTGCAGTGTTGAGGGAAGTCCAATATATCACCTCACAGTTCCCGTGGAGGTGCCTGAGCTCTATGGGTTCTTTCTCCCCGGGAGCCGACAAACCTCTTTCCTTCTTTGGATGGCACTTGCTATACCCGTAAGGACAAGTCTCAGTGGCTAATGTTCGCACTGGCTGCAGGTTTCCCCAGACACGATCATCAGTGTACTATAACAGCATATCTCTTATCTTTTTTCATTATCCTTGTCCCTCTCCATGCTATATACACTGACCATGCTTCCCCTTTTACATTTAAAAAAAAAAAACCTAGTTGCTATATGCTCATGAGAGCATTTATTCCACTTCTGTTTCAGGGGCTAATGTCTTTTGCATGCCTGTCTTTTACTGTGCCACTTGATTGTACCCATTTTGAAATTCTCATTTCTAGTTTCTCTTTACTTTACTCATCTAAACACATTTATTTTCTTTGATTCAGAATAAAAAGCACAAATGAGGCAGAGCTTTAGAGAGGAAATGGTTTGATAGATTTTTTCCCTCATGTTTAAGTGGAGAACAGTAATGCATGCCCTTTGATGTACTGTACAATTAAGTGAATAACCTAGGCAAATAAAAATTGAGACAGAATTAGCTTCTTCCTGATCAGTTGTGAGTAGAATTTATAGAAGAAGAAAAATCACTTGCAACATATCACAGTAGTAATAACAGAGCCTGTTTTACAGAGCTGCCTTGCAAACCATTTCCCATCATATACAAAAGGCCAATGCTCATTTCTAGGAGATGGCTGTGAATAAGGTACCAAGAAAAGGGAAGAGACACTTAAAGGCAATTAGGCAGTGGGTTTGAATTTCATGGTAAAGGCTGTCTGAAACAGTCTTGGGTATTAAGCACTGAAACTGAGCCGTATAAATACACTCACACTTTAAAAATGTTCTTTCTGTATTATAAAGTACTATTAAGTTGGGGAAAATTTGGTGGCAATGCAGGCAAATTATGAGTGTGGCTGCGAAAGAAGGACAGATGGTCAAGGCAGAACTAAGACATTTAGGAAGTAGAATGAAGAAAAATAATTGTTTAAATATTTGAATATAGGCTTAATGGTGGGATAAGAAAAAAAGAGGAAGCCAAGAGCTGGGAGGATGGCTAGAGCTCTGTGCATTGTTCCCAGGGAACCAAAAGGAAAACCTCGCTGCAGCTCACTACTGGTTTTTGTGGGAAACAGAATAGTTTAATGAAACCATTATTTCCTTGATTATTGATCCAAACAAAGTAAAGTCAACACACAACTAAGTTGAGTTAATGATTTAAGACTTAACTTTCTCCTCTTGCATCAAGTCTTATGTGGACCCTTCACTTTTTTCAAAAGACAATGAGTGTTTTTTGCTAATTGCCAATAAAATCCTGAGTTCACTAAACAGTGGCCCCTATCCCTATTGCTAGAACTATCCATTCAATGGTCTTTCTTGGGCTTAGGGTTATACAGGGGATTGCTGTTTAGCAGGAAATTGGAAGAAAGGATCAGAAGTGGGAATGACATAGCCAGGGTATGCTGGTTTTACATACCAATTTTCTTGTAATCATTTTTTTTTTGTAAATTTATCTGTATGAATTTAACCACTGCTCACTATCCTGTCTTTAACACATGAAGCTATGTTTTCCTTAGAGTTAAATTTGTCAGTTCTGGCCATGATCATATTCACAGATCCTTTTTGTGGATGAGGTCGACAGAGAGGAAGACAGGTTGAATTGGGCTTGGAGGGAGCATCTTTACACTGATTCACCATCCTTGGTGCTTCATCTTCACCTGTCTTGCATCATTTCAAATCATTTATATTGATGGTAAGTGTATAACCTCTGACCAAATAAGTAAGTGCCACCAACATTTTCAGAGTATACAACCAACACGACATTTCTTTTAAGTAATACTGTTTTTGTGAATTTGTCTAGAAAATAGGGGCACCCTCTCATGAATACCAGAAACTGTATACTCTGCTTACAAGGGATGATAAAAGCAGGTCATGGGTGCTGGACAGAGAACAATCACAAACAATGACCTGGAAATGTCACAGACTCTAGTCAAATCACTGAATGCCATGAAGAACCTTATAAAATCAGAAGGCAACAGTGCCTAACACCACAGATTAGAGAGAACTGTTCTTGAAGATGATTAATCAAGTGCTTACCTCCATGGGGAGGGGAAATTCTGGGCTCTGGCCTGATTTGTTCAGAGCCAAAGTCAAAAGTCTGTGTTTCCTCACTGCTGTTGCCATCTTCAGTTCCATCAACAATCCTGTGTGAAGTGCAGAAAATCAGTTAGCTGTGCACTTACATTCATGAATTCCAGAATTTCTATAATACCTCTAAGATATGTATTCAATTTATAAGTTCTGGGCGCCAGCCATGGGGTAACCACTTCCTGAAATGAGTCTTGGGGGCCTGACTCTTAGTTCTGTTCATGCTCTCCAGAGTTTGAAAACAAGTTTTAGAAAGAAACAGGCCATCTAAAGATTTGTATATTTTCCACATTTAAAATGATGATATTTGGGATATATATAGTGTGACATGAAGTATAGTTCCAAAGTTACTTGCATATAGGCTTTACTTACTCTAAAATGTAGCAACCAGAAACTTTAAAACTATATATGTGGCTCACATTTTAGCTTACATTTTATTTTTGTTGGACATTGATGCTATAGAAATTAGTTACTTATTTTCAGATTTAAAAGGAGGTTGAGAAATGCACACACACAATTTTTCAATTTTTTGCCTCCATCCAAGAAAAAACAACTTCTCTTAATGACTGAAACAGCACAGAACAAAAGCTCAATAACACCTCTAGATAAAGCCCTAAAACTGCATATTTGAGTGTTAAAAAATTTCATGTATGTGCTCAATGTTTTTGCTGTTGCTATTCTGGGAACTGAAGCTAGGGTCTCATGTGTGTCAGGAGCTGTTCCACCAAGCTCCATCTCTGGCTTGAAGGTTCAAATCACTGTGAAGGAGCTGAGTCTTTTTCCTTCATAAATGGTGTCTAATTTACTCACTACAGAAAGATCAAAAATAAAAAACGAAAGTTCCCAGTAATTTACTGCAACTATAAACATTTTGGTAAGTGCCCCTGAAATGCTCTCCATGTAAAAGAACATAATCATTCGACAAGTGTGTGATCCTAGCTTTTCTTTTCCAGTTCTGAGGCTTTTCTAACTAAAAGTTACAACACTTTCTTCCCATTCAGCTTGATGTGAAATACACAGATGCTATAATATGTTTTCTTCAAGTGGATAATGGACTAGTGTACAAGTTGACTCTGAATCCAGGTTTTAGTTCTTGCTACTGCTGAGGAGACCTTTGCCAGACTATTTAAGTCTTCACCTTTACTTTTACAATGTTCTAGTAAGAGATGATACAAATGGCTTCTCAGGATTCCAGGAAGACTAAATACAAGACAAACAAACCAAAAACCAAAAACCAAAAACCAAAACAAACAAAGTTTCACACAAGGTGAGTGAAACCTAGAAAGCATTCAGGATATTTTCCTCGCTTGGTTACTCGGCTGTTAGGGATTCTGATGTTCTTACTGCTGTTGCTGGCATCACAGCCTGTTTTTATTTGTTCATTTGTTTGTTTGTTACAATCTCAATCCCCTCAGATGATTCTATTTTTATTGTCAATGCAAAATAAAGCTAGCATTACTAAAAAGAACAAAAACAAAACTAGCTTCAATTATCCTCAGTAACAAGCACGACAAGAAAACCAGCCTGCAGTCATTCATCCATTCAATCTGTTGTTCTGTAAAGATTTGGGCAGTAAGGGATCACACTGAAGAGTCTTCCTCTCTTCCATTTTTATCGTGTAAATCATAAGTTGCATCATGATAAACAGAGATAAATTAGTATGAAAGAATGAACCCATTTAAATTATTATAAGTAATGTTTTTTTTTCTTTTTTTGTGTCAGGGTTTCTCTGTGTAGCCTTGGCTGTCCTGGACTTGCTTTGTAGACCAGGCTGTCCTTGAACTCATAGCAATCTGCCTGCTTCTGCCTCCCTGAGTGCTGGGATTTCCACCATGCCTGGCTATAAGTACAATTTCTTTTTATAACACAAATATATACATATCTGTACATATATGTTTCAAAAAATTGTATGCATGGTTCAGGAAGACTGAAGAATCAGGGTTGCGAACTTATGGGACAGAAAGTCTCAGAAGGCTGAATACAAGGTGTGTGCTAGGCTGTACTTGAGCACACACGGAGGTATGAACACACACCTGGGAGACTGTTGTGCTGGTGACCTCTTACCTTGGACTAAGCTCTGGGGTGCCAGCACTGTTCAGGCTGCTAAGCTGCACTTTCAGGTTCTTCTCCTTCATTCTGCCATGGTTACGTGCGTCAGTCTCCTGCTTGGCTTTTGGAGAGTTGCTACTGGAGACTCTAATAGGTGAGTGGAATGGTACTGTCCCCGAGGCCAGCTGCTTGAAGCTTAAACCTAGATAGCTCTTATTGCTGCCAATCTTTTTGCTGCGCGAAACAGAGGATCCCCTTGTGTAGATGGGAGAAAGGGAGGTGGTCTCTTCTTCCTCCACCTCTTCTTCCTCTTCCTCATCTTCCACAATGGATGGGAGTCTCTTGTTGATGCTTCCATTCCCCTTGGGCTCTGCCTAGATCAGTGGATGATACAGATTAGCACAGATTGCCAAGACTTCCCAAGAGGCACACCTACTGAAAAAGATCAAATTCCTTAGAGACTAGTAAACCTTTGCATGTTGTTCTCTTGATTTCCACATTTTAAGGGGCTCCTAGTTTTCAACCTTAGATTTACCTTCTCTGCTCTCTTAGTTTTAACCCCAACCATCCCCTTGGTCTTTAAAAAATATCCAGGTGGTGAGCTGAGTAAAAGATGTATTGTATATACTTCACATATAGATTTTACTCAGCTACCCATTCATAATCACAGTAGATGGCATTCTCTTGGGAATATGGACATTTCAATTTTATTTCAGAGTCTTGGGTTGTTTGATTTAGTGCTGCAATATTTTAAAAAAGAACTTGTCATGAAGATCAGCATTAGTGCTATACTTGAGAATGAAAGTTTTCTCCTATCAATTTTGGACCTCAGGAATGGAAAAATGAAACACCCTTAGCTTTTTTGCTTCCAGCTCTCTTTGTTCTTTCAAGTCAATAACAAGACACTGAACAAAGCCCTGCTTCTCTGAAGAGCCTTGAGATATAGAGGGAAAAAACAGTTTTTCCAGAATCCATCCGAAGAGCGCTGTGTGCATCCAATCTCATAGGCGAAGAAAGACAATAGGAGAGAAAACAACTGATGTGAAGGCAGAGCAACAGAGCAAGAGTTGGCAGAGACAAGGCTAGACCATCTGAAGTATTGCAATGATTCTTGATTAGACTCAGACATGATCTCTGGGCATGTTCACTACTCATTTCATTTCAAGAAAACAACTTCATTTTTCCCATGCCTCGGTTTCCTTTCCAAGTCAAATATATATGTGTATATGTACACACATATATACATAAATATACATGTACATATACACGCATATGTACACGCATATGTACATATACACATGTATATACATGTACATATGTACATATGTATATGTACATATATGTATATACATATTAATATATACAATTGGACTTGAAAAGGAAACTGAAGAATATAAACATATATATATATATATATATATATATACATACATACACACACTTAGCAATTGTTCCTAATAAAAATAATAGTAAACACTGAAAGTACCTATGCCTAAGATTATTATTTAAGTTTCACAAATTGCCATGGTGATTATGCCAACAAGTACTTGGTTCATTGGTTGTATTTGGATTTGTGGCATCTATAATAATTACAGTAAAACAACAAAAAAATACTGTGGTGTTTTCCAGGCCCTAGCCGTTTAGTTCAGGTGTTAGTCACTATGTGAAATTAAGTATTGGTTTCCTTTTTCTGTTGTTAATCTTTATATCTCAGACTATTTGAATAAAACAATGCTCCTAGAGTTTTCTTTCTAGATGCATATAATTATTTTAACCAACTGTGAAGTTGTGCATTCATTGTTGGAAAGCCTTGGTGCCACTTTTCTTTGTTTGTTTTGTTTCTCATATCATTTAAAACTTTGTGCTTTAACAAAAATTGGATCTTCATGGAATTGCACAGGATCATTGTGTACTTTTATTGTAGAACAGAAAAAATTAGCTTGTCCCACTAAAGACACAACAGGGCAAACTTATCTAAGAAATAAAAAAACCTTGGGTCTGATCTCTAATTAGATCTGTTTACACTGGCACTGACAGTTTATTCATTCCTTTGTTTGAAGAAGTCCCCATTGGTTCTAATAGAATCCTCTGACTGATAACTTACAAAATGTTTGTACTTCTGCAAGTTCATGTAAGTCTCAGAATTCTACTTTGTCAAGGAGTTTTGGTGACTTGAGCAAGCCTCTCACCAATTGACTCTTATGATTAAGACAGCAGACTCTACTTATACCAAGAATTCATTTTCCTAAAAGCATCATTGTAGACAGGACCTAAACTTAGGTCCTGTTATTAGATACCTAACCTGTCATTGGTCTCTACTAAGGATAATAGGTATGACGTTTACATGAGAAATGTCCCCTATGGTCTCAGATGGTTCCCAGTTCTTGCCCTTATTTGGGGAGGTGGTGCAGCCTTGCTGGAGGAAGTACATCAGTAAGGGTGAGCTTTGAAAGTTCACTGCCTTGCCCTAGTTCCAGTTTGCTCCTCTGTTTAGTGTTTGTGGTTGAAGGTGTGATTGCTCAGCTTCACACACTGGCCGCCATGACTGCTTGTTGTCATGCCTCCTCTTACAAGGAATTCTCATCTCTCTGGAACTGTAAGCTCAAAAAGCTTGCTTCTATAAGTGGTCTTGGTCTTGTGTTTTTAATCATAGCAACAGGAAAGTAACTAATAGAACTAGATACTTTCTTTGGGGCATCTCTGTGGAACACCTGCTTCTCTGTGCAATCCTCTTTTACACTGCCAAGAAGTTCTCCTACAGTGCTATTTCACTTCATTGACTATTACTTTCATGAGGTTGCATTGAGGTTTGATAGTCATGTTTAAAGGAAACTCAAATTTCTTCTTGGTATTCTGCTAGAATTGCTGCTTCAGACTCAGAAATGACTGGTCAAATGTTCTCAAACAAAGTCTTGTGCAAAGTTCATAATTACATGTGTCCCTGAAGCCCAGGTTCCTTACTTTCCAACTACAACCTTGGTGGAAGCATAATCTTTAAAAGTCTTGGCTTCCTCAACTTTAAATTAAGAACTTTATGAAGAGAATATTAGACATTGCACATTAGATTATAGAATTTATATATTAAATAGTGGATAATTAAGTTAAGCGCTTAAGAATATTTAAAATATTATGGACTGTAACCTGAAATTTTGATCTAAAATAAACTCTTTCTCCCTTAAGTAACAGAGAATTTTATCACGGCCACAGAAACGAAGGTAGGACAGTGATCAAGATGAAAATTGCATTTCCATCAGTGTAGATGCTAGTTACCCCTTCTTATACAAGCTTTCCTCTTCCTTAGTTAATAGATGGATAGCAAACACTGGGACTGCTCACAATGAATTAGGTAGTTTTAATTACAAACTCGATGTGGCCTAGAATCATCAAAGAGAAGCCTTGACTGAGGAAATATCTAAATACAAGTCAGACCTGTACAGATCCTAGCATTATGGTTGCTTCCCATATCAGCAATGCAAGCGTGGAAATACCTTGAACCTTAGCTACTCCAGGCAAAATGTCTTCGTAAGGTGGGATCCAAGTCCCCGAACTTCCATGGCAAGTGTGGCTAAAGAGGACCCTAGCATACACAGAAGGGGAGATTTTAAAGGAAAGACAGCTAAAACTGAGGGTTAGCAAGTTCCTGGCAACCTTCTACACTGATGCTTCAGGTGCATGCTGCCATGTTTGGCTTTGATGTGGGTGCCATGAATCTCCTCATTCTGTGTAAGTGTTTTACCCTTCTCTGAGCTATCTCCACAGCCTTTCAGATTAAGATCTGAAAAGTGTACTATGATCAGTGGAAAAAAAAGTGAAAATGATCAGTGGCCCCTCAAAAAGACACAAAAAAGTCAGATAAATCCCCTTCTCTGAGAAAAAGGAGAAAGGGGAATGAGGGAAGGAGACATGAAGGAGGAGAGAAAGGAGGGGCTGGGATCAGGCTGTAAAAAGATTAAATTAATAATAATAATAATAATAATAATAATAATAATAATATATGGTAAAAATATTGACAACCTTTAGCCAGAGGAACCAAAGTAAAACAAAAACCTTGAATTAATGAAACTAGAAATAATTTAAAATAAAATCTGAAAGACTGATAGCAAATATTTCAGAAATTTATTTTTAAAATGTCTAGAAGAAATGGATAAATTCCTAGACAATTTGCTCTTCCAAGGTATAAATAATACAAACAAGAAATGAGGCTTAAAAAAGTTATGTTTTCCTTCCTACAAGAAAACCCTAGGGCTCGATTCACTGCTGAATTCTATCAAACTTTTTTAAATTAAATTTTATTTTTATATTAATTACAGTTTATTCACTTTGTATCCACTTTGTATTCCCTCATTCCCTCCTAATTCCATAAGGGAGGTCCTCCTCCCCTTCTATCTGACCCCAGCTTATTAAGTCTCATCAGGACTGGCTGTAATGTCCTCCTCTGTGGCCTAGCAGGGCTGCTCCTACCTCGTAGGGGGAGGTCAAAGAACCAGCCACTGAGTTCATGTCAGAGACAGTCCCTGTTCCCCTTATTAGGGTACCCGTTTGCATACTGAGTTGCCATGGGCTACATCTGAGAAGGGGTTCTAGGTCATATCCATGATTAGTCCTTGGTTGTAGTATTAATCTCAGAAAAGACCCCCTTTGCCCAGATTTTTTGGTTCTGTTGCTCTCCTTGTGGAGCTCTTGTGTTCTCCAGGTCTTATTAACTCCTCCTTCTTTCACATGATTCCCTGCACTCTGCCGAAAGTTTGGTTATGAGTCTCAGCATCTGGAAACAGCATAGGTGTCCCTCAACCAAGGAATGGATACAGAAATTGTGGTACATTTACACAATGGAATACTACTCAGCAATTAAAAAAAAAAAGACACCATGAAATTTGCAGGCAAATGGTGGGATCTAGATAAGATCATCCTGAGTGAGGTATCCCAAAAGCAGAAAGACACACATGATATATACTCATCTATAAGTGGATACTAGACCTATAACATAAGATAAGCATACTAAAATCTGTACACTTAAAGAAGCTAAACAAGAAGGAGGACCTGGGGTAAGATGATCAATCCTCACTTAGACAAACAGGATGGACATTGGAAGTAGGAGAAAACAAGAAATAGGAGCCTACCACAGAAGGGCCTCTGAAAGACTCTACCTAGCAGTGTATCAAAGCAGATGCTGAGACTCATAACCAAACCTTGGGCAGAGTGCAGGGAATCATGTGAAAGAAGGTGGAGTTAGTTGACCTGGAGAGGACAGGAGCTCCACAAGGACCAAATATATCAGGGCACAGGGGTCTTTTCTGAGACTGATACTCCAACCAAGGGCCATGCATGGATATAACCTAGAACCCCTGCACAGATGTAGCCCACGGCAGCTCAAACTTTGTATGTATCAAACTTTTAAAGAAGACAGAACATCAACATTACTAAAAATGCTCTGTGACATGGAAGTAGAATGGACACTACTAAAACTTGTTTATGAGGCCAGTATTATTGTGTTACTAGAACTTGGTAAGAACAAAACAGGCAGGTCAGTGGTTGAGTTCTAGGACATCCTTGGCCACATAGCAATTTTCTAGGACAGCCTTGGCCACATAGCAAACAAATACAAAAAACAAAAATACAAAACAAAAGTCAGCCATACCTGTGAGACTGTAGATTTGTTCGATAATCTTGATATTACCTGAAAGAACAAACAGAAAGTTTAACAACCATTTAAGCCTTTTCAATAGAATACACATTTCAAGAAGTGTGTTTTGTGGGGAAGGAGAAATGTCTTCTGAGAGATGTTTCTAAAAGGTTCCACTCTCTAGGACTTCTACTGATTGATGTGTCAGCCTACCAGGGATGATAAATTGGTTGTCTCTCACAGGACATAACACTGAAATCCACATCACACATATTATAAAATTCAAGTCTGCCATGGAACACAACATTGAACTGAATGTCTACCACAGGCTACCACAGGTGGAGTTCAACCTTGATGACAGTGAGGCACTGCTGTGCTTTATATATTGATGCTTGCTTCACTAGTGCCTTTCATTTTTCATTTTCCTACTGGTCTTTCCTAATCTCAGGCTGAATTCATCTGTTTTCCTTTAGCTGTGTGAAAGCTTGTATCTGTGAAATCCTCTTTGATTTAGTTTCATTACTGCTCAGCAACCTCCCTTCTTGTTTAACTGCTGGCAATAGATGAGATGCCTTTCCTGTCCCTTCTGTTTCACTCACTGAGGTGTTCTTTCTGAAAAAAAAAAAAAAATCCCAGAGATCACATTGCTTGATAACAGAATTTGTTTTCTTTAAGGATTTGGCCACAGGGAGTTTGAGCAGGCTCCAGTATGGGAAACACAAATTGGACTTGTGTGGAGTTTTTGGTTTTTGGTTTTTTTTTCTCCTTTTTTAAGAGCGGGAGGTCATAGGGTTGGGGAAAGGCAGACATGAGAGGACTGGGAATTGAGTGTGATCAGGGTATATTATGTGAAATTACCAAATAATTAGTACAAATGTTATGTTGAAATAAAAAGACCCCTTCACTCCCTCCAAAACACAAAATATACCAACAAAACTGAAATATGCTGTCAATTACAAGATAGATTTCTATCTCAAATATGCAAAGATATATCTTACAAAGACTCATGACCCCAGAGCATATGCTGTATAAGCTGCGGTATTGTAGAAGATATGTATAATTTGTATTTTCTACAATTTATAAAAAAGATCTGGAAAATTTGACATATCCTCAAAACATACTCTGATATCAACAACATTTTTTTAGCCTAATTATAATTTCTTATATTTTTATGTGGTAATAAATTCTATAAATTATCATAATTTTATTCACATGTACAAATACACTCAAAAATCATTCACATGGTGAACCAGAAGTGTTTGGTAAATCTGTCTCTCATTCATCATTTTCACCCTGAGATGATTAGGGAAGAAGATCTGTCATTATTTATGCATATGTGGCATCATTATTGTTGTACAAATACATGTTTCATCAATGTTTAATTTTGTGAAAGCAGTCAGCCCATTCTGCATCTGCTTAGTTGTCTAATATGCATTAATCAGAAGCATTTTAGACATAAGTTTGAAATAATTCCCCAAACAGTGACAAATAAGACAGCTGAATAATTAAGAATGTGAAAAACAAGACAAAATTGTGGTGCTCTTGATATTGTGGTAGACATGAAAATGTGCTTCAAAAATTCTTTCAGTTACAGCTTGGTATAAAGAAAGAACAATGATACCTAGGAGGTTTTGATTCTTCCTTCCTAGATATGTCCCTGGAAGGATGAGAGAGATGATGGCTTTAATGTCTTGGGATGTGGGCAGGTACCCAACTCCCAGGCTCTTGACTTAAGGTTAATGTGCTCTGGGGTCATGAGTCTTTGTAAGATATATCTTTGCATATTTACCTGTGAATCCCAGGTAAATATTCTCTATTAGTGTCTCTCAGGCATCCTTGTCTGGGCTCACCATGGAATTTCATTGGAAGATATGTTATGATGCAGAGGTCTGGGGCCAGGTTTGAGAATGCAAGTTTGTAGAGCACTTCTAGGTGCTCTTGATGCTGCTGACCGAGGGAAACTTCAGGATAAAATACCAAAGGTAGCATTACTGTCAGTTAAGAATTCAGCATTTAATCAGCACCTTAATAAGTCTTCTCAGGCATTATATCTGTTTATTCTCGTGATCATATAAGGTAGGTACTTTAAAATCTCCCTGTTGCTAAACAGGAAATAAAGTACTAGACAATACAAGGATTTTCTAAAGATTGTAAGGTTGCACTGATTAAGTTGAGGGAAGTAAGAACAGGTTATTTGCTACAGTGAGCAAAATGTTTCAAAGTTTTATTATTATTGTTTGTATCAAAATAACATTACAACATTTCCTTCTATCTCTTCCCTTTTACCAGCATCCCCCCCCCCCCAGTGATGGCTCCCTACCTTGATAGCTGTCAAACTACTACTTCCTTCTCCCTAATTGCTATTGTTACATGAATAGAATATATAAATGCATAGATATAACCTGGTAGCCAGGTGCACTGGTGCACACCTGTAATCCCAACACACAGGAAGGCAGAGGCAGGCAAATCTCTGTGAGTTCAAGGCCAACAAAGTGAGTCCAGGACAGCCAAGGCTACACAGAGAAACCCTGCATCAATAAACCACACACGCACACATAGACACACAGATACATATGACCTGCTGAATCTGTCCAGTGTTGTATGTACATGATTTCAGAACTGACCAGTTGGTAGTGGATAACCAATTAGAGTCTCCATGAAGGAAGACTTACTTCTCTTGCTCTCTACATTTCTTAGCTAACTGCAGTTCTTTGTTTAGGTGTTCAATCATATGGTAAAATATGTCCTGCATAGGATGTATTTCCATTCACTTATTTTGTTGTCCTCGATTAACAAACATAGTCTTACTGGGTTCATTCACGGTCTAGAGTCAAGCAGGGTTAAGTAGGCTACATATATATGTTTATATAATATAATACACACACAAACATATACATACATATGTATAGTTCACATACAATGTGTATAGTTCACATACTATGTATATGTGTGTTCATACTTAGTAATTTTCCAGCTGAGAGACTATTTGAATATATTTATTTGAATATGATATTAATTACTTATGGTTAAAAGAGTATCAAGATAAATTCATTCTGGTAAATAACACTTCATGCTTATCTAGTTTATTTAATGGAAACCTAGGAATTTATAGCTAAACTTGACCTTAGAGCTTCTGCCACAATGGATTCCAGACCTACCTGGTAACAGAAGACCTTGAGAACTTGAATATGTGTTTAACAAATCGGACTCTAGCATGCTAACTGGATGAAATCTCTTTCAGTCAGTGATGTGTGGGCTACAATACCCAGTCCAGGTCAGGCTAGAAGACCTACAGAAGGTCAACCCAGTTCATTTCAGAACCAACAGGGAAGGGCCTCATGAGGCCTCATCCATATTTGAAGAGCTATTGGCAGTTGGCAGCGGGGGGGAGGGAGAGTCAGTTTTCTTCAGAGGTCGAGTCCCACCACAGGTTGCCTATGCGTCTATGGGTGGTCCCATACCCTTGTGCATACAGGCAGCCACTAACTGGACTCAGTGATTACATGTTAAAAAGATAATGAAGACATGAAGTTGGGAGAGGAAAAATGTGATGGGAGATTCAGGAAGAGTTGGCTGGAAGAACATGAGGGTGGACATGCTCAAAATACATTGCTGGGATGCGTGAAATTCTCCAAGAACAAACAAAAAGCAGAAAAGGGAAGACGCACAGAGTCAGAGCTACTCCACAATTTTAGAAATAAGCTAACTGAAATTCAGGGAGAAGAAATAACTTGCTTATGTCATCAGTTAAGTGAACAGCAAACTCTCAGCCAGAAACTTTGTACACTGGTTAGTTCTATCAACTTGACACAAACTAGAGTAATCTGGGAAGATGGAACCTCAGCCAAAAAAACCCAAAAAAACAAAAACAAAACAAACAACAACAAAAAACAAAACAAACAAACAAAAAAACCACTCCATCAGATTGGCCAGTAGGAAAGTCTGTGGTTCGTTTTCTTGACTGATGACTGAAGTGTGAGGGCCCAGTCCACTGTGGTTGATGCCATCTCAGAGGCCATGGTTCTGTGGTGTATAAGAATGGTTGCTAAATAGTAAAATAAATAACAAACCAGCAAGCAGGGTCTTCCACAGTTCCTGCCTCCAGGTTTCTGCCTTTAGCTCCTGCCATGTCTTCTCTAGATGTACTATAATGTGGCAGTATAATAAACAGAAACTCATCCTGTGCAAGCTGGCTTTGGTCATGGGTTTTATCATAGCAATAGAAAGGAAACTAGGACAGCCAGCTTCCAATCCCATAGTTCTCCTTCACAGAGCCAGAATTTTCCATGTATTTCCAGTATGAAATGAATTTACAGAGCTGAAAGCCTACATGCTAGACATGGAATTTAATCTAGCCAAGGATTTGATGCTTGATGTAAAACAAACCTCCCAAACCCCATGTAAAGCATATGGTACTAGGCTAACTGCTTAAACACTGCTTAAACATTTTGGAGATTTTAGATCTTTGTAGAACTCTGTTTAGTCATTTTCTCCCCAGGAAAAATATGAACTCCTTTTAGGATGGAAAAATATTTATTAATTTCCATGTCCTTCCTTCAGAAGACTGAAAGGTTAGAGACAATTGAGGGATAGCAGGTTTGTACAATTTGAAATTCTTCCTACTATAGATTTTACATCTAGAAAATAGGAAAATCTTCTAGCTAAAGGGTATTCAAAAGACAAATTAACTAGAGTGGTAGAGGTTGGTAATATAAAAAGGTCAAAAATCAGATATGAAGAACGGAGGTGAGCTTTTATTTAGATTCATTCTCAGCTCCGGGAATGGGAGGATTCTCTTGGGAAGTCTTTGTAGCCCTACCCACTGTCATCTGTGTGGCTTCTCCCTTCTCTCTAGGCTTATGTCCAGCAGTAAGATGCATTCGTAAGATTTACCAGTATGTCTCCTTAGCAACCTCCTCTTACCCAGTTTCCCAGTACCCTGCTTTTCTGGAAACCAGTCTAAGCAGCTAGCTGGACTCTTGGGAGCTGGTGGTTAATTCCTCTTGGCCCCGCTCCCTGCACCACCTGCTCAACAACTTTGCTCAAGCATGATC